TTTTTTTTTTTTCTTTTTTTTTAGAGGCCTAGTTGATTATTGACAACAAACCATGTGGTTAATCTTCCATTTGATGGACTTAAATTTTATTAGATACTTCCTGTATTGCATTCCTTTCATAAAATGCTCGAAATGCTTTAAGAAATGCGATAAAGAAGAATATAAAATGTATGTTATATGATTATAATTTACAAACATCCTTTAACCATTAATTAAAATTGTTTAATCTTACATTACAAAAATAAATGCAGTTGTTTATTTACATTTTATCATTATTACTCAATATAAAATTTATTTTATAATTATATGTGATCATCTAATTTTAAATAAGATTAAGTTGCAATTCAATAAACATATTTCAATTGAATAGTACTTCTATTTATTCATTTAATTTTTTATTGCCGCCAATATTTGCTATTTTTAATATATTATAAAATTATCTTAACATATAGAATATTTTAAATTTATAAAAATGCGTAAAATCATTTTTAATTTAGTAAATATACAGAGTGTACCAGCATCCGTAGTATAATCGCGAAAGGATTCTATATAAAAAGATAAATTAAAAAGGAGGAATAAAATTTTTAATTAGGTAAAAAGTTTAGTGAGAAAATCAAGTTTGAAAATTTATTAGGTATACTTGAGTTTAGCTAATTTTAAATCTGACAGAAAAGAATATAGGAGATTATTCTATGAAAATGAGTCAAAAATATGAAATAAAATTTTTTTGTTAGATGCTTTGTTTTTGAGAAAATTGAATTTGAAAGTCTATCGAGTACCAAGGCAATTTTCAACGAAACATATTCAAAGTCTATTTTCTTGAAAATGAAGCTTTAAATGAAAAAATTTTATTCTATATTTTCAACTTATTTTTGCATTAATTTATTTAATTATTTTTTTCTGTCACATTTACAATTATTATTCAAATTCCATTATGCTCGATAAATTTTTAAACTCGATTTTCTCGAAAACAAAGCGTTTTATAAATAATGTTTTATTCTTTATTTTTATCCTTTTATGTAGAATCACTCCTTTCTGGGATTACCAATGCTAAGTTATTTGTTGGTCAATTTTCGTAATAAAAATTTATTTTTCTTTTAATTTAATAAATTTACAACGCATTTAATGTTCTAATAATGGACATTAATTTTTCTTAATTTAATTTAATCATAAAAATTTCTGGCAGTTTTAAATTTTACGAACGCACGTATGCAAGTTCAGTTACAATAAAATGGTAGAATTAAAAAATTCATGTATTTTAATATTATTAACCTTATGAAATATAATAAACCAATAGAATTATTTATTAATAATATCTATATCATTTAAATTGTATATTTCTCCCTTTTTATCGAATATGGTTGCATGAGGATATATGAATGAGAGTATTTATTATGACACAGTACTACAGTATGAGAGTGTTTCACATTAAATTTCATAAAAATTTAATAGCTCAGCAAAGTAATTTAAATAAATAATATAACATTCATATTAATAACATATGATTTTAGTGTATACCGAAATTCATACAAGCATACCCTTGTTTTATACTATCTCAAATCTGTTAGTAACCAACATGGCGGAATAGATAGATGTTGACTTTTCAAGATTCACATGTCTTAGATTCAAATATCTCTGTACAACAAAGTTTAAGAAGAAATTGGTTAAATGTTATTCATTCATGTAATTTATATTGTTTATTGACACACGTTGTAATTGCCACTGAAGTCACGTGTTGTATATTAATTGTATTGAGTATTATTAACAATAAGTGCGTATATTACCTATTAGAACAGTCTACTTGACACAACTGTAACTTTGACCCTTAACGTGAATGTATTGCAAGCATTTGGAAAATCAAAAGGAACACACGATTTTTTTGAATTATTTTTATTTTAAAATAAAAATAATACGACTTACGTAATGAGAGTGTTAACATCAATTTTATATATTCCATCGAAGGGTTAAGAGGTGCGTTTGTTATTTGAGGTTCGATATATTTCAAAAATATTAAATACTATTATTGTATTGAGTACATAAATCGAATGAAATTAAATGTACTTAATAATGAAAATTTTGCAGTACTTTTCATTATGTCTATTGTACGAATATTTTATTAAAATTATTATTACTATTATACAGACATAAACATCTTAAAATGTAAAATTAAAATAATATAATGTTCTTTGAAAATTTTTGAATCGACTTGATTTTAATATAAGTGAGACCAAATTTTTGAATTGTTTATTATAAACTTATCTTAGTACGAAACGTTATGAAATGTTAATTCTATATGGTTTTCAATTGATTTAATAATTTAGTTGATCTTTCAGAAACATGTGTGATTTAGCAAAAAAAATGAAAGATTCAAGTGTTAAAAACAATGTGCAAAATGAATCAACAGATCAGTTTTGTCGAACACAAAGTGTTGATAAAAAGGAACCTGCATTAAAAAGTACAAACGAAGATGTTCAACGTGCAATTGAAGGTTTAAAGGATATACCAGACGAGGAACTTCAAGAATTTCTTGATGATGAAGACTTTATGGAAGGTTTAGACGTTGTCGATGCTTGGGAAGGTGATGAAGAGAAAGGTCGTGAAATTGAATTTAAAACTCATATCAAGGATCAAGAACAGAAGCGTTCTTCTAGGTAGCAATAATAATATCAAATTATTGTTATGGCTATTTTTTATAAAATATAAATGAATTTGTTATATAATAATTACAATTATTATAAGACGTAACAAAAAATTTTTATCAAATCAATTTATAATTTGTAATTATACACATTATGATTTTTATACATAATACGTATAAATGTATTTTTATACATTTATACCTATTACAATTTTGACTAATAATTAATATTATATTGAACAATCAATGTACTTTGTTTTAAATTTTAGTTCTTCTCTTTAAATAATTCGCAACGTACAGAAAAAAATTATTATGAGCCTACTTATAGGGAAAGATATCGGCGTGACTACAAAGGATCTTACAATCGTGAAAGGCCAAAGAGAGAAGAAAAAAGACATGAAGAAATTCGTCGTGATCCTTCTAAAAGTACTAAAGATATAGAGAAGGATAAAATACGTACGAAAAGAGATAATGAAAGCAAACTTTTAGCTGAAAAGGAGAAAGCTATTAAACATTTGTTGGACTCTGATAATGTTGTACCTCCAGGTACAGAAACTGAAGCAATTCAGAGCATTACAGAGAGACAAAATATAGAACAAGCACAGATCCACAAGATCCGAGAACGACGTAAAAGTATAGAACGTCAAAGAGGAAACTCATTACGCCGTAGAACGCCAGATAGAATTAGACTAAATTCTCCTCGACGAAAATCTCCCCCAATATTAAGTCCAGAACGTTCTAGAAGTGCTTTTAAACTGAGCAATGAGAGACATAGGAGTCCATTACGGTTTAGTCCTGATAAAAGAAGAAGCCCAAGATTTAATTCTGCTCGCAGAAGCCCTTTTGGATTTAGTCCTGAACGACGAAGAAGTCCAGTTAGACGACTTAGTTGGGAACGAAGAACAAGTGCTGACAGAAGATGGAGTGCTGAACGAAATAGGAGACGTATAAATATACATGAACGGTGAGAAGAGATTATTTTTAAGCATAATATAACTACTTAAGTTTTACTGTAAAAATAAAAGAATGTTTTCTGTACAAAATGATTTTTGTAAGACAAGTATAAAATTTAATTTTATCATTGCTTAGCTCAGTTAATAAGTAAAAAATTTTATTTTTTTATTAAATTATGGTGGTGTAAATTTGTTAATGGTTTAGGTTAATAAAATATTTTAATTTAAACTTTAAATTGTCAAGCCGAAGAAGTCGATCTCGTGATCGACAAAGAAGTCGCAGTACGGATCGTCTTAGAAGAAAAATCAGCCGTTCACCAATTAATAGACGTTACAGCCCTCGCCGACGAAGTCGAACTCGAAGTAGATCATTAGAACGTCGAAGAAAACGATCTCCTTTTATCAATGAACTTACAAGACAACTAAGAAATGAAGCTATAATGACATCACACATGAATGCCGGATATACACATTCTTCCATGGACGGCATACCACCTCTAATGAATAATATATATCAGCAAGAAACAGAATCTAGATCATCAATACCAATGCCACCTTACATGCATCAAACTGGATTAGCACCGCCAATGTCATCAAATATAACAACTGGTGGCCCAACATTCATGAATTTCGAAAATTCATCTCAGCCAATGAATTTTGATTCTGTTCCATTACACCAATTATCTCAAACGGAATATGTTTCTGGTCCAGTGATGTATAATCAACCAAATACTGGTTCAATTCAATCAACACATAGGCCAACACTTCTTCCAGCACCACAAATTTCATCGCCACAACATGAATCTGCTACAACTACAGTGGATCATGTGCAAACATATAATTCATCACATGGCATTCCTTCCACTCATCAATCTCCAATTCAAAATTTTGAATTTTCAAATAAATCTAAAGATACAATCTCTCAAAACTACAGGGAACGCGGATTTACAGATTCTTATAATGGATATCACACTTCACAAGAAGAACGATTGAAAACTCCTGAACCACCAGTCATCTCAGATACAAAAGTAATTTTGTTATATATTATAACAAAAAGTTATTTTTTTATAGTTATATATATTTCATTCTGTATTATCAAAACAACAAATATTGTTTTGAAATTAATGAGTAGTATTTTTACGTACCTTCTAACATAATATGAAATTAAATTTTTTAAACTTTATATAAAAGTATTACTATTTATCTTGCGAATTAATTTTACAGCAATTTGAAAAAACAAGTTTATCCAGTCTGTTGGAAGCATCTGTTTCCGCTAAAGGTGCGAATATATTTTTATCTAATTACTATTCAAAATTATACATACAGTATTGCAAGATATTTTTTATGTTACAATGAACAAAATTAATACTTTATTTTTCATGTTTCATACATTTTCTAGATTCAACTAGTCTGCCAGTCTTGTATCCAGGTAAGAATAATTATTCGCTTATTTATAATGCTTTTTAGTTTGTTTATATTAAAAAAATTTTTAATATTTTCTTTCCAAGTTAATTCAAGCACAGTGACATAGTGAAATAAGTTAATATATTAATTTTACATAATTATGTTTCTGTTTAACAATAGGATTCAAACCAGAATTATTACGTCGTTGTGAACATGCTTTGCATGAACTTCCTACAGAAGATCTTCGTTTAAAAATGAAGGGGCGATTTTTCTATGATCCAAAAAAGGAGAATACACAAAGTGAACAAAATGTATATTCATCGAATTCAATTCTTTTACAAAAAAGCAAAAACAAAATACAGTGGGAGGAAGAAGAAGAACAACATTTAATTTCCATAAAACAAAATATACAAATGCATCAAAAAATTTGTCAAACTGATGAAGTGGAAACAAATACAAAATTTGTTCAAGTTAGTGCTACTATGGTAGATTTTGAAGTACAAGTATATCCTCAAGACTTACAGCATATTGCTAAAGAAGAAAAAAGACCTATCATGGATCGCCTGGATTGGAATATGCGTGAAACACTTGATTGTACATCTAAATTTCGGGAGGCTGACGATTTAAGATGGAGTTTAAGTAATTCTTCTCAAAAAAGAACTTGGAATCGAACGGTATCCCCTCCTAGGAGGATTGATGATCGTAAACATCATATAGATTCTGTATCTCCTGTAGATCATAGTTCAAGAAATATGAAATTAGAATCTCCAATAAGGAACAGAGATAATTTTTCCAGTCATAAAGGATCTGTTCGAGAGCATTATGTTCGTGAAAGATACTCGCCTAATTATAGACATTCTTTAGAACGTGGTGAATTTCATGAAAACAGAAGTGATCATAGTCGTGGTGAAAGTCCTATGATGCTAGAAGATTCTGGAGAAGAATTAGAATTGGAACATACATTCCAAAGAGGAACAGATTGGCATGGAAGAGGAAAACTACCAAGAGGCAGGTCAAATTCACTAATGAAACATGTGTTCAGAGGAAAATATTCAGGTGGAAGACCTTATCGTGGCCGTGGAAATTTTCGTGGAAAATTCTAAAACTACTTGTCTAAAGCACAAACTTTAAATGTAGAATTATGTAATCAAATATATCAATGTATCAAAAAAAGTTATCTATTCATGCAAAAATTTCAAAAGAAGGATGTGAATTTATTGTTTTATTTAAAATATGCTTCTTCATATGTTGGAATTATCCCAGATATTATTATTAAAATATATTTTAAATACACTGGATTTAAATACATTGGATTTAAACATTATATTATAAATACAAATATTCTTTGCACGGATATTATCTACTAATATTATATTTGAAATGAAAATTATAAAATTATTTGTATGTTGTAAAATCATAATGTTTGTTGAATAAACATTTTATGGGACAATACAAACAGTGCGGAAGAAACCACTGTTTATATTATCATTCATTTACAAATCGAATTGTGTAAATATGTGATAATTACAAATTTTATACATTACACTATTCATGATTTATTGTCTTGTTCCATTTATTATTAATAATTTTTATAAACTGAAATATTCCATTTTAACCGGTACTGAAGATTAAAATAATATGTTTTACATATTATTATTCTTGAAAATATAAAATATTGTTTTCAACATAAAATCAGCTTAATTGTATACTCAATTAAGTAACTATATAATATTAAAACATTTAAAATATTTATTATTATTTCTAATATTAAAACATTTTCTGAATTATAACATTATTAATATAATATAAATAAATTATAATATAATGTAATACATCAAATGAAAAACTTAAAATTATTCTACATTTCTCATATGTGACATGTAACTTTCAAAACACAATGTAAAATTAATAATTTTTTTCATTTAAAAATGCCACCAACTTGGAAACTATTACTTTAAAAAAAAAGTTTCTTGAAATTACATTTTTTAGAATATAAAAAAATGACAGATGTGATTAAAAACGTAAAAAAAACTTTTAGGTTAAAATATCCTGCAAATGTTTCAAAATGTATATGGTGTAATATTAATTTAATAATAATTTTTTTATACAAAAAATATTTATAATTTCTGTAAAAAAGAAATGAAACAATATATTTATTTTTATTTTACTTGTACTTCAATTAAAGTAATACAATAGCACATCGTACTAATATTTTATTTTTAATTTAAAATTGGTACATATAATAAAAGCTACTATGAACAACACGCGATGTAATGTATATTTTTTATCTGTTAATAATATAATATAAATATGTATATAATATGATAATAATATATATAAATGTTTAAATGTGAAGCAATGAAATAAAAAAATAGAAATTTATTTTTTATTCTTTAAAAATAGTTTTTTACAGTAATAAATATAACTTTTGTGCATACTCCTCCGTAATGTTACATTCTAAAATTCTTTTTATTAATAATTAATATAGTTATGCTAATTTATTTTATTAATATAACAAAAATTATTTTGATTATATTTGATGTATGTATGTTTATTTTCAAGTATTAACATTTAATTTAAATTATTCATGCTCATCTATATATCAGTAGATATCAGTAGAGATCAATAGATAGATAAAAATAGATATTTAAATTTTAAGAATTATCTAAATCCATACATAATATTAATACATTTATTAAAATTAATTCATATAATTAACTTATATATTAATATAAATACTATAAATTGCGCTACAGAAATTATAACAAAATGAAATTCAAAGATTTTTTTTTCTTTCAAAGTCCTTTTTACTTGCATGTGGTATATTAATTTTAAAGAATACAATTAATTTTTAAAAATACTATAAAGAGTTCAAATAAGCAAATCAAGCAAGATAAAATTTTTATATTTATATTAACATACATAATACTTATTAATACAGTACAAAAATTATAAATCTTTCGATTAGTAGAATCATTTTGTATTATCTAAGTCATATTACCTATTCTTAGATGATTATCAGCTGCTGAAATATATTTAATAATTAATAAATAATTCTGTACAGAAAGTCGTACTTATTAATAAAAAGAATATTTGAAATATAGTTCAGAATTTATTTAAATTTGATTTTGGTTTTCTATTAAATTAAATTAATATCCATATTTAAAAAACGATCTAAAATATAGATCAATACATAGAAATTATATAAATGAAATATAATACAAATGAAAATGTTTTCCAAAACTACATGTTCTTGGTCCAGAATTTGATATGTGCATTCAATTTTTATACAATTTTATGAAAATTAATATTAAAATTTGCTGAATTGTTGCACGTCTATTAATGTTCGTTTAATGATCTCAATTAGCTTATCTCTAGCAAAACATGCAAATTCTTGAAAAACATGATCATCACAATTTTTATTACTTACAGTTAATATAACTTTTAAAGGATCTTTCTTTTTAAATATACATGTGAAATCTAAATTTATTTTATTTATATTCCCTTCTTTATTGTATTTTTCTATTGCTTGCTGAGACATAAGAGCTTCTATTTGCAAACAACTCAAATTGGGATCTAGAACAATACTATTACTTTGTCTATTGCGCCATACACAATGAGACCCAGTACAACGAAGTATGATATTTTGCTGTTTTTCTATATGCACATCTGACAACATTTCAATCTTTTGCTGTTTTGCTCCTGTTTCAGCTGGCAACACTTCAACTTGTACTTTAAAAACTTTTTCAAAAATATCTTTTACTATGTTAAAGACAATAGAATGCCAGTCACGCTTTAAAAATTTGGTTTTTTCTATAATGTCTATACATGTTTCCATACTGTTTGATCCATACTGAAACTGATTTGCAGAAACTGTAACATTAAATTTACCTTTTGGTAAAGGTGTTGTAAGCAAAGTTTTCATTAAATCTCTGTAGTTATTTCTGCTAGACATTGCGCAAATTTCTGCACCAATTGCACAATATCTTACAACAGAATCTAATGTAGAAACCTGCGTGCTTGCTGTAACATTATGATTTAATTCTATAGGATCTTGTACACACATTGGTTTATTAACATTTAATTTAAGACTTTCATCTTCTTTTGCGCATGCTTTATATCTATCCATACATGACGGTAAATTTTCTATATTTTTAAACTCTGATTCTGTATGTACCATTCCATCTATTGGACATATTACTTGCGATTTAAATTCAAAAGTTGCATAAAAAAAGAAAAAACCATGAAGAAGTTCCGGAATACTATTTTTATTTGTAATCGGTGGCAATACTCCATTTTCATCAAAATTAGCCTGCCATCCATTTATAATTCGTGGTTGACATGTATTTTGTAATATCATTAAGGGTGGAATAATATTAACAGATGGTTGTTGTAAATAAAATATAATTAATAATACCAAAGCATAATTGGATATTTTCTGTCCACTTGATGTTTTAAAATGTCGTGCCCAATATTTAATAATCATCATTAATGGTCTCAGCCTACTATCAAGAAATATACAATATTTTATCAAATGACTTTTATATATACCCAAACTGTTTTTGAATGAAATGTCACAAGAAACATTTGTCCTAACATAATAAAATTTTATAATAGGAGTCTTAGCTTTTGGAATTGATATTATGTCAGAAAAAACACAATTCATTCGATACATGATTTTTTTTACTTCTTTAAAAATCTGGTGCATAGTCCATGAACCTGAAGTACTTTTATTTTCATTTATTGGTTTTCCTTCAATAAGAATCATATTATTGAAAAATAAATGTATATATATATATATACATATTTATACATATTATAAAGTAATAATTTAATAAATTTGAAGTCTTACCAATATCCATATATATATCTAAATCACATTCTTTAAAACCTAATCCTGTTTGAGTTGAACCAAATCTATATGTTTTACATTTTGGAAATATCACTTTAAATATTTTGTCTAATTGTGTACAAACAGATTGATATCTTGTTTCTATTTCAGCATCACTAAGCTGTATTGCATTTAAAAATATAATTAACTGATTATCAAATGTAGTTTCTTCTTCAAATATATGTTTTATGTTATCATAACTTATAGAATCTGTATTTTCTATGGGACTATTTTTTTTCCTCGATTTGGATCTTTTCAGATCTGAAAACAAAATATAGTTTAAAAACATAAAATTATATTTATTAAGTGAATAATAATACTTACTATGGGCTTTTTTCTTTTTTATATTCAACATTATATTATTTATCCAAATTGGTTTGTTTAATAGAATTTCTGTAGGATTTCTACAATGTTAAAGGATTATAAATATAATTTGATTCATGATTTTGCAGCAATAACAATATTAAATTTATCTTACTTGTCACAAAACTCAACTGTGAGATAATTTGGGCCAAATTGATGCCTTTTAATTGTACCATATTGTTGAAAAAAATTAATAAGTCTATGAGTAGGAATAAATTTTGGTAATGGCGAGACAACAATTGATCTTTCCACAGCTTGTACTCGTTCTAATTCTTTCAAATGTTTTTTACCTGCAAGATGACCTCGCAAGGCATAATCATCTTGGAAATGCATTAAGCATGTGTCACAAGTAGGTTTCGACATTGTTGATTTTATATATATAAATCCATATAAGATTTTTTCATATCAAATTTATAAAAATTTTATCTTTCCTCATTACTTATTTATATTAATATATGCATCAGAGAAATGTTCATAAAATTAATAATTTAGAGTCACATTGTTACTGTATCTTAAACTATTGTTTTTTTAAAGCATAATAAAGTAATATTATCCTTATTTTTACAAGAATTGGCTATTATCGAATACTATGTCAAAATAAAAATAAAAGCCCTCTTATTTTTCACAAAATTCTTCTCTTGTTCAAAATGGACTGAATGTTATATCTCTGTTCTCACTTTCACTTTTAAATACATGATGCATAACTTCAATATTATCAATAATTTTCTGGTTAAGTTCTTCTAACTTTTTTTATGAATCTTCAACTGTTTATTTAATACAAATTTTTAAATATATTTATATCTCTTGAAATGTGACCTTTATGTATTATACATTATTTCCTAATATATTTCCTCATAAATTGAATATTGTATGTTCGAACGTCTAAATAATACGTAATTCAATTGTTATAAATTTCAAAATATCATTTTGAACTTACTTATGAAGATAATATTGCAAACTTATAGTTGTAAGAACCAAATACTAGAATTTAATATATTAAAATTTAATGAACTGCATGTACGACGATAAATAAATGCAGAATTAATTTCTACACCACATGTGCAATATTTCACTCTAACCTAAGATTTATTTTGATTGCTAACAATTTCTACGTTTTAGAGGAAAATATTATATATGTAACATGTATGTTTTATAACGAGTTCAGAATGTTAGCGGAAGTGACGTTCTATTATTATCATAAATGTAGCATTTCAAAAATATCTTTAATTTTTGAATATTTTATAAAATTGTATTTGCAGTACTTACGAAATTATTTGAGCTTTTATCAAATTAAATGTATGAAATAAAAACTTAATTCAAATTAATACTTAATTCTTCTCTGAACAGAGAAATGTTATATTATTTAAAGCATGTTCATAATATTTATCAAATTATTTGTTGGTATTACTAAATATTATTATATTAAGTTTCGTAAATACTGTTTTATATATCTAATGATTATATTTTAATATTTTATTGAATTTTAAAATGTATTAACTATAAAATTTATTTTATTTTTATATTTTATATTCTAATTTAAAATTCAAGTTTATTTTTGATCAAAGATTTTGAATATACTTTTGAATATAGTATTAGAAATAATTAATGCAAAGTAATTTCAATATTAGATAGTATATATATTTAAAAGTGTTATAAATTATAAAAGGAACAATCAATAGTAAAAAAAACAAAAAAACAAATATGATTAATATGTGTGAAAATAAATATATATGCATATGATGAAAACAAATATTTCAAATTAAATAATTGTTCAACTTATAAAGATAGAAATATAGAATATAATTTATACGAACATTATAAAACTGCGTGTTTATTTACTTTTCACTTGCATTTTGAAAAGTATCTGATAAATTTTGGTTGTAAAATTTTATCCTTCATAAAAACTGTTACATAAGACATCCATAATATGTGCAAAATTTTATGGTTCCATCTGTGAAAACTTAATTTATTTATTATTCCTCTTTTACCTAAAATAAATATTGATATATAGTAATATTTTATGATAATTTATTGTAATCTGTCTTACCTATTAAAAATATTTTTATAATATGTCTTGCAATTCTTTCATTAGTTTCTTGAATAACTAAAAGTATACCTCTAACATTTCTTAGATTACTATCAAATAATTCTTTTATCAAAGTGCAAGCACGTTTTGCTTGCAGTAAACATATTTTTCTTATTTTCCTTATTATGGTCATTTTAGAATTAATTGTTCTATTTAAAATAAATTTAGATAATCTCAAACATGCTACGTTGTTTAATTGCTTCCTTAAAATTCTGGAAAAAAATTTATAATTATAATTTCTATAAAATACAATAGGTCTTTTCATAATAATATATATATTATACATGTATTTGCACAATTACTTACATTAGAGGAGGTAAATCATTTTTTTTCAAAAATTTCATTGAACATAAATGTTTTTGTGAACGTTTATATTCTACTTCTAAAGTAGTACAATTAATTTTATAGCCAATGTAAATAATATTGTTCACAGCTATAGTTTCATTACAAATTATGTTACTCTGAGTTTTTGATACTTTAAAGTAACAATTATATTGCGGGATACCTTTCCTTGTTGATTGTAAAAATCTATTTCATAATAGATGCAAAATATATAGCAAAATGACAATAAAATTAAATATGTTCGTGAATTCATTGATATATCATAAATGATTTTGCATCTTACTGTTTTGCAAACGTTTCATTTTTAGTAACATATAAAATATCATCCATGTATTTTATAATTTCTCCGGCATTTAAATATGCTGACATTTCTTTATGTAAAATAAAATTATAATATATATCTGATAAAATAGGTGATATTGGTGATCCTTGTACAACTCCTTTTGTTATCACATAAACCTTTTTATTTATTTTTACCTATAAATTAAAATATTATGTTTTGTAAACTCAAATTCCAATTTTAAATAATATTTATATTTTAATGATATGTAATTATCTAAAAATCTTGTTTTTCATACTCTTTGACAAAAAATAAATTTTGAAATTTGTTCCAGTAACCAGGTTTTTCTTATTTGTTGCCAGTTTTTACATGTATCTGAATATAATACATTGGGTGCTAAAGGTAATAGCAAACTTGGGTCAGAGAAATACTGTTTGTAACATACTTCCTTAGCCTGTTTACTTTTAACTGCATAATACTTGAACATCAAATTTTCTGGAAGATCTTTACACAGTGACTGTATAATGTTATATAGTTCCTCTAAGTACAAAATAAAAATTTTAATATTTATTTGTAGGTATATTAAATATTTGAAGTTGAAAACAATTGCACCTTGTATTATAGAACCAAAAGCGTTTGCTACATCGCAACATACAAAATATAAATTAGTTGCTTCATTACATTTGTATTGAACAATTGATTTCCATTTTTGTTCAAAATTAGTGACTCCATATTTTGTAATATGTAATTGTTTCAAAAATTTAAATACTACATTCAAACAACTTTGCTCTTTAGAAATATAATATCTAAAAAATGATTTTTTAATCAATTTTCTTTTTAAAATACAGAATCATTTACTATTGCTAAACATAGTTTAATTACATACATTGATTTAATATTTTCTGGTTTAAATATAGGTCGTACATCAGACTGTTTAGGAAATAACGTGTATATACCTATTGGTGGCTTCCATTCATTATATTTAATATCTGGTTGCAAGATTTTCGAACGTATTCTTTTCTTAATAAATTTCTTTTGTACAAGATTCCAAGTTGAGCGCATAATATATAATCTTTCATTATTGCTTTTGGAAGCTGTCATATGAAAATAAGTATGCAATATTTTTAAAAGATATCCAACAAAAAACCATTTTACAAATTTTGCTATAATGCACCATTGCATACTTATACTTTTAATATCTTGTAACCATTTGATATTAAATAGCTGAAATATATAAATATATGTTTGTAATGCAAAATCATTTATTGTAATCATTTTTGTCAAAAAGTAACATACATCTAATTTTTCAATAAAAGGTCTTAAATTAAGTGATTCATAACATGGTATATCTAATAGATAAAACATAATTCTTTTTATTTTCTTTAAATTTTTTAACTTTCCAAATATGTTTAAAGGAACTACTTTAGCAAATATAAGATCAAAAAATAACTTCAATTGTTTTTTGTTAATTTGATATTCACATTTTGATTTTCTTTGATTAAATTCTTGTTTACAAGTTAAATGTTTCAAAACACTAAAATAATGGAATTTTTTATGTTTTTTCTTAAATTGCTCTAAAAGTACAGAAATGGTTGGAATAGAAATTTCATAATTAGTAATAATATTATTTTTGATAGTTTCTTTTATAATGAAGTTATATATCTCATTTCCAGTTTTATCTGTGTTAAGAAGGCAACTTGTTAAATCTGTATAACTTTTATAGCTTGGTAAAGTTGAAGATGTATTATATAAATAAATGTTTAATTCATTATTCATATGCCACAAATGATGATACACGTTTTCTTTAGGAAATATCTTCCATTTTTTTGTTTCAGTTTTAGCTTTTATTTCAGCTAAATCTAAAATAATAATTTGTTATTTCAATGGTCAACTTGTTCTAAGTATTATAAATACTTATGATACTCTTGCGATATATACATACGATCTATAGACTTTTCTTTCTGTAAGTTTTCCAATTCCTTATTCATTTCTAATTTAATATCATTGAAAACATTTAAACAATCTGTAAAAGTTTTATTGGAATTATTTACAGACATTTTGAAGGCACCACATTTATCTTGTTGAAGTAATATCTTATGACATAGACAGTACCTAATTCAAAAAAAGAAGAATTAAAAGAGCAAAAATAAATAATCAAAATAGCATTAAATTTAAAAAAAAATACAAACTGCTGAAACTTTGAACCAAAAATATTTTCTATGCTTTGTGTGGCCATTATCTATCAATTATATTTATAATTGAAACGTCAATATATGGAAATGATAATACAATACAAAGACAGTACAAATATCAAACATCAGTAAAAAAATATCAAAATTACACTATTGTACTGCATTATATTGTAACATTGCGAATGTTTACATTATTTGGAAAATATTTAAGCTGTTTCTACTATTTTTCAAAATTCTTCAAATAATCTTTAATTACAATATATTAACTGTAAGGTAATAGCCTATTTTTAACACAGTTGCAATTATAACATCAATATTAACATTACATATTTATAAAAAAGCTGCTATTTACGAACTGGTCACGTGGTTATTGGCGCGTATGAGTTATTAAACATTACGTACAGAAAATACTATATTCAAACTTAATACAATAAATTGAACAAAAAATATTATTATAACATTACCTACCTTAATCAAAAAAGATTTGTAAAATTTATTCAAAAAATTCGAAATACGAATCTCATAAACTTTTAATTAAGACTTTCAATGACAATATAGGTTTTTATATTTTTTCGTGATTCTTAAATAAATTTCACAATAAATATTAAAATTTACGATTATGAAAAATGTTATTGCATCGGTTGATTCTGTATTCTGTGAATTATTAGTGTTCTTTTAGAAATTGGTTTAGTTAACTAATTGAAAATTATCGATTCTTGTTAAATTACATCGACGGGAAAAATATTACATCAATAACACCATTACGTATACATTATTTTATAAAATATACAACTTACGACAAACTGACCATAAAATGAATAATATGTACAAAGGCTACATAAAAATTAAATGTTTATTAAGATTTTATTTGTACATAATGCATTTTAATACAAAATTTTCATCTGTTAAACACTTTAATATAACCTAGCTTACAAGACTATATGTCTACATATATCTATATTTTGATAAATGAAATAAAAAATCCAATTTACATATAATTTTCATACAAAAATAAAGATGTTAACAAAGAAAAAAAGATGTAGAATAAAAAAACGTAACATTACAAGATATCCGTTTAAAGCGATTGAAAAAAAATCTAGTTTACATCACAGATGGGTAAATTGGACAGGATAGGGGGAGGGGGGAGGGGTTGGTAACCCTGAGTAACAGCAAAAACCACATGGAAAAGGTAAAAGTATTGAGGAGACAAGAGTAGAACGATAGATCGGAAGCGCCACGAAACGGAGAGGCGGACATTTTGCAAAACACTCGGCATGGATCGAGCTCCATGTTCGCCCGTGAAAGTGATGCGGTATCTCCGCGATTAGGGGATACAAGTCTCGCGTTTAGTGGGAGAACGTTGAACAGTTTGCATGCGTTGGCCCGCCAGTCGGTATTCGGAACCGGTTACAACGAGGTTAGTTCAGAGGTGTGTAATCTCGACGCGTGTCCGAGAGTAGCGTGGCGATACCGTTTTTGCTTTGGTCTCGGTGCACGAGGAGACATTTGCGAAAACCAGTCGCGACAGCGCGAATTAGTAAAGTTCCGTCAGAAGGAGATATCGAGAGAGTCGTTGAAAAAGAGAACGTTAGTAACAAGGCGGAGGTTAATAACGTTGAAAGTGGTGGCGGTATCGACAGCAACAGTGACGACGACGACAGCGGCGGTGGCGCAAGGTGCGAGGACGAGGTGAATGCACGGCGGCCGCGGTGTGTGCCAGTGGTGTGCGCGCTCGTCGCTTGTGGAAACCCGCCAAAACCCGCGGCCGCGAACAACCACCAGCAAGAGCAGCAACAATAGCAACAACAACAGCAGTCGAAAGAAAAGGAGGAGGAGGAGAAGGTGGAACAGCATTAGCAGCAGCAGCAGTAGTAGTATTAGTAGTAGTAGTAGTAGTGGTGGTGGTGGTAGCAGCAGCAGCAGCAGCAGCAGCAGCAGCGGCAGCAGTAGCAGCAGGAGCAAAAAGCAGCAGTAGCGTGTGCAACGTTGTGCCGTTTTGACAACTTTCCGCCGCGTCGGGGCGTCGCGCCGTTTTCTTCGCGGCGGCGGCGGCAACAGCAGCGTGAACAACAACGGAGACAACATCAACGAGAACGTGTCGTTTTAAAAAGGCCGTTCGTGACGGCAGTTACGGCTGCGACGCTGCTGACCCCCCAGCCTGCACGACGACGACGACGGCGGTGGCGACGGCGACGGTGGTGGTGGTGGCGGCGGCTGCGTTCTGTTATTATTTTGCCGCGGTGCTTTTGACCCTACAAACTGGGCGAGTTCATTGCAGCGCTTTCGCGGGGGTGTCAGCCAGTTTTATTACTCCGGCCTTCTCCGTCCGCAGCAGCAGCGCCGACGGCGCCAGAACACGACGTTGGTGTACGACAGCATGTCTACCAGTGTATGTACGCGATCGCACACCGATAATCCAGAATCGCACCGTTGAACCGCTTATTCACGAGGGCGAGAAGTCCGCCGGCAACCGCCGTATCACACTGGCTCGGTGTGATATCATCGTAGCGGGAGTCGACTGAAAAAGGAACTACAGAGTGACGTCGCGATTGAGAAGGGACGCGACGAACCACGTGATATACCTGTCGTCGGGCCGCGTCATGTAAAGCATGCTCAACTCCCCAATGGCCATAACCTGAATTGAGCCGATTTGACCCGATTAAGCCCGATTCGCTAGTTGAACGAAACAGGCATACGAACGAATGAAAGAAAACAAACGGTAGCCATTGACTTTTCTCGTTCTTTTTCTCGTGCTCGGGCTCGTTAATTATCTCTCTGCAGTGTTCTTGCTATCCGCGATAAAGGAACACGCTATCGCTTGATGCGATTAATACTGCGAGTGTTCACTTGTGAGTAAAAGGTAATGTTGCGCTTCTGATGAGTAGGTATAATACAGTTACTCCCACTTGTATTCATACACTATACCGGCGTATGGTATAAATGAAAAAAAATCGTGTTTTTTATTAATCATTTTTATTTATTTCTATTAAATATTCAATATTACAGTACACTACTTCTACGAAACAGTTTTATTTTTCTTTTATTAAAAACATAAGCTGAAATAATGTAACTAATCATAAAGGCTAGCTCTCAGTCGTATTCGTACAGTCAATATGTAGACGGTAGTATATATTCTAGGAATTTTTTTTTTTGTTATATCGAAATTCCCCGTACATCGCACATGAAATAAAAAACAGTTGATTATTCTTTTGCTGGAAAATAAACAGTTTGTCACGTTGTTAAGGAAAATGCACCGAAAAGGAACAGAAACGATTGAGCTGCGAAAACTAATTATTAGTCATTATCAAAATGGAAAAAGTTTACAAGAAATTAGTAATATTGTTAATAGAAGCCGATCTACGGTTTAGTATATAATAAAATGGTATAGGACGTAAAATAGAATAGAAAACAAGATCCGAAACCGTAACAAAATCGTTGTTAAACGACTGTTAAGTAATGAACAAAAAGTTTTAAGGAAAGTAAAGAAAAACACTAAAATTAGTGTACCAAAAGTTGCATTCAAACTTGAAAAGACAGGAAAGAAAGTTAGTAATGAAACAGTTAGACATAGTATAAGAAGATATGGATATAATGGAAGAGTAGTTCGCAAGAAACCTACCTTACGTTAGTGAAGCAAATCGAAAGAAGCGTTTGCAATTCGCAAAAAAGCACGTAAAATAGACGTATGAAGATTGGAAAAAGACAATTTTCACCGATGAGAGTAAATTTAATGTCTTTCGGTCAGATGGTAAGCAAATTGTGTGACGTAAACCAAATATAAGTTTTGAAAGATCAAAGTCCACGGTGAAATACGGAGGCGGCCACGTTATGGTGTGGGGGTGTTCTGCCGCTGGGGTGGGTAATTTTGTATTTATTGATGGGGTTATGGATATGTATAAATATATAAATATATTTTGGGTATTCGTAATGATTTTAATTTTTATCAAGACAATGATCCGAAGAACAAGGCATATGCAATTCGACAATGGCTTTTGTATAACTGTTCTAAGGTAATGAAGGAAACCCCTCCACAGAGCCCGGATATAAATCCGATTGAAAATTTATGAGCAGACTTAAAAGCCAGAATATAAAAATGTGACATCAAAAATGTAAACCAGCTTAAAAAAAAAAATTACTAATCGAATGAAATAATATTATTAGTGACATAACAGAAAAATTAATTAAATCCATGCTCAATCGACTAATAGAAGTAATAAGACACAAAGGCCATCAAACAAAGTATTAATTCATTGCATTTGTTAATACAAATGTGCTTAATTTTGCATGTACAAATACGACTGATAGATAGCCTTTATGGCTAGTTATATTGTTTCCGCTTTTTTTAATGCTTTTAATAAAAGAAAAATAAAACTATTTTGTAGGTAAAAGTAGTGTACTGTAATATTGAATATTTAATAGAAATAAATAAAAATGATTAATAAGAAATACGATTTTTTTTCATTTACACTATACGCCAGTATAGTGCACGAATACGAGTGGGAGTAACTGTATTTCAAAGAAAATAATCGCAAGTCTGAGACGCGTACATTTAGTTTGACGAACGAAACAATCAAACAGAGAGACAAAAGACAGCTAGTCGCTTTCTTATACATATGCAAACTTAGAAAGACCTAGAAAAGACCAAAACCTAGAAAACATCCATTCCCCATTACAAACCGCACGTCACAAGCGCTATCGCGAGTGGCTCCACAAATCACTAGATCCTTCGCGTATCTGTTACATCTCCTACGCGAAATTTTCTAAGCCCATTCTATTAATGCAATGTGAGGGATGCTTGGGGTTTTCCTTGGTAAGCAAGTCCGCTACCATCTCCTCTGTCCTCACGTATCGAACCTCGAGTCGTTTTGAGGTTACTTGTTCTCGAAGAAAGTGGTAGCGAACGTCAATATGCTTGCTCGTTGGGTGGTAAGCGTCGTTCTGTACAAGCTTTATCGCCCCTTGGTTATCACTGTATATGCACATCGGCCGATCCTTGGACTGTGGATTCATTTCCTCTTCCAGTTGTTTAAGCTATAGTCCCTCTTGAGCAGCTGTGGCTAAGGCCACATGTTCCACCTCGGTGGTTGATAACGCCACTATTTGCTGCTTTTTGCTAAAGCAGGAAATTTCTGCTCCCTGAAATAATAAAATGTAGGCAGTATATGACCTTTTGTCTTGATCAGTTGCCCAATCTGCATCACAGTATCCAATTATCCTCCCATCGGTGTCCTTGCTGTATGTGAGCTTATAGTTTATGATACCTTTGAAGTACCTGAAAATTCTTTTCACAGCCGTTCAATGTTGAGATTGTGGTTCATAACAGAATAAACTCATGCTTTGGCTCAGATACAGCAAACTCCCAATTGCCTCTCGATACAGAATATTCTCCATCGCTCTGTCGTCTGTCTCCGAGCTTGTCAGCTTTATACTTGGGTCACACAGTCTGGTTTACAATCAATCATTCTAAATCTTTCTAGGCATTGTCCTATGTATTTACTTTGATCGAGATGTATTTTTCCTTTTTTAATATCTTTGGTTATTCAGATATCTAAGCATTCTTTCGCTGTGCCCAGGTATTTCATGTCAAAATCAGTTTTTAGTTTTTCTTTAATTGAGTTCGCTACTTGTACATTATTGTGAAATAGTATATCGTTCACGTAAATGACCAGAATTAGCACGTCTTCATTTTCTTGTATGCTATTCCCTTGGATTGTGTTAAACCTGCTCTCCTTAAAGCCGAGTTCAATTTCATGTTCCATTGTCAGCTTGCTTGTTTCAGCTCATAAATTGATTTATTTAGTCTGCAAACTCTATGATCGGTCCGAAACATAGGTGGCTGCTGCAAAAATTTCTCTGTCGATTTTTCCCTAGAGGAAAGCGTTATCGCATCCATCTGCTCTATTTTTAAATCATGCTTCACTGCCAAGGCGAATAAGTACCTAAATGAGGAAAATCGTTAGTGACGAGAAGGTATCAGTGTAATCTATACCCTTCTTTTGTTAGCTTTTATTCTTTTATCCTTTTATCACCAATCAGACCTTATATCTAATAGAATCATTATTCGTACCTGATTTTGTTTTAAATATCTACTTGCATGGTCTTACCCGTATGCAATAATCTTTCTTCCATTGGGAGGACCAACTGTATGGTTTTTGATTAACAAATCGTACTCCTGCTGTATAGCTTTCTTCCATTTCTCACTTCTGGGACTTGATATGGTTTCCTCAATGCTCTGTGGATCGTCATCTGCAGCAACGTTATTATAGCATAAATAAGTTTTTCCTTTACCTTCCTGTTTTCTGCTTGCGGATCTCAGTTTTGAGACAAAGTTTGGATCATGTGTAATTTTGCTATATTTGGAAGGCTTGTATTCTTCTTCTGCTTCATCCCTTTTTTCTTCTTCATCCTCGGCAGATTTAAACGCTGTCTCTTGTGTGTCGCTGTCAGCGCTTGAAATTGTCTCTGGTGTCACCTGTGCTGATTCCTGCTGAATGACCATAGAATTCATTTACTGCGTCTGACGATTGTTCTTCCACTTTCCCATCTTCTTCTTTAGGAATATTACCACTGGTTCTTGCTTCACCAAAAATACTGCATCCTTGGCCTTAGTGAATTGATGTGTCCTAATATCAATAAATCTATACCTTTTTGACTCGTAATAGCCAACAAATATCATTCTTTTTTTACTTTTTGTCCCACTTTCTTCTTCTTTTCTTAGAAATATGAATCATGACCTCGCAGCCAAAAACTTTTAGATGGTTTATATTGGGTTTTGCTTCTGTCCAGACTTCCTCTGGAGTTATGTATGATAGTGATTTCGTTGGCGAGCGATTAGTGAGGTAGGCAGCTGTTGATATCACTTCTGTCCACAAAAATTTAGATAGGTTAGCATTAAACAGCATGCATTTGGCTCGCTCAATGAGGGTCCGATTTATCCTTTCAGCTAAACCGTTTTGTTCTGGTTGTTTGATGGACGATGCCCTCCTGTATTAAATAATTTTTAAAAGCATGATTAATATATTTTTTCCCATGGTCTATCCGTATTGCCTTTATGGTTTTGTTCAGTTGATTCTCCACCAGAGCTTTGAATTCTTCAGACTTACTTAGGACATCATTTTTATCTTCCATGAAATAAACGAAAACTTTTCTAGAGAAATCATCAATGAATGTGATGAAATATCTAGAATTACCTAATGACTTGTTCGCCATCGGCCCACATAAATCGGAATGGATCAATTCCAAGATTTATATTGCTTTTGTTCCCACCTCCTTGAACGATGGATGGATATGCTCGCCTTCTAAGCAGGATGTGCATATAATCTGGCGTCTTCGGGAACAATTTTACTTCAAGCGTGCATTCAGGCAATCTCTTTATTAACGGGAAGCTGAGATGCCTTAGCCTTTGATGCCATACGTATGAATCTTGGTCTGAAGTGGCAAGGCATGCAACGGCCCTAGTTTGCATCGCGAGCTTGTACACATCGTTGGCAAGGTATGCCTCGGCAACTTTTTGACCCGTCGGGTTAGTTATTGTACGTCCGTGACCATTAAATTCAACCTTGCAGCCACTTTTTAGAATTTTGCTCATAGAAAGCAAATTTGAAGTTAGATCTGGTACATATAGAACATCTCTTACTCGTATTTGTTTTGTCTCATTGTGGATTTTAACGGTGATGTTGACCTTGCTGCAACCATCACAGCTATTTTCAAATTTGATGTACCGACGGTTCGTTGACGTCGTACAGCCATTCACGATTTCTCGTCATGTGCATCGATACACCCGAATCCACGTACCATCCATATTCTTCTTGTTTGCCTCTTATCTGGAACGCTGCTGCAAAGTTTGGATTGCCTTCTTTATTTTTGAATTTTTTTTTAGATGGACAATTTTTACTTATGTGGCCGTGTTTATTGCAGTTGAAGCATCGTGGACCTTTAGGTTCTCTGTACTTGTTTCTAATCGGAATCCCCTTGGATTTACTATAAAATGCTACCGAATCTGATGTTTTTACTTCGTGCAATAATTTAGTCTTTATGGAATCCGCGGTGACCGGCATATCAGAGGCCACTTTCAATGGCCATTATCATTGGTTTCGGGCAAACCCGCAAGAAATAATCTACCCAACCATTCGTCCTCGACCATAAAACCAATACTTCGGAGCTTGTGTGCAGTCGAAATTAATTTGTTCACGTATTCCTCTACATTATTGCAAGCTAGCGTTGTAGTGATTAAATTTCTTAAAAAATTTACCTTTCTGTATAGGCCCGAGTCATCAAAAGCTCTCTGTAAATTTTGCCAAATCTCTTTCGGCGTGTTCGCTTCCTGCACGTGAACGTAGTTGATGGGGTCTATCAGTAGAATAATCTTCGTTCTAGCTTTAACATCCTTCCTACAGTTCACATCCTATTCTGCTCCATCCGCTTTTCTTGCCGGCTCTACGCACTCTTATAACTCCTCATGCTCTAAGTAAGCTTTTACCGCGAATTTCCATGATGCATAATTTTCACGGTCAACCAGTTTATCTATTGATGTCTGTGCATCTATTGATTATTCCTTGCCATTATTAGCAATGATTAAAATCGATAAATAAAGGCACGTGGCTGAAGCTCGTTAAAAAAAAACAGTTCCGACGGTAACTTTCAATGCACGTGGTTTATACCGAACTCTCGTTAATTTTTTAAATATACGTACTAAACTCGACAAGATCAGAAAGCACGAATTCACTTCGAAGTAATACCTGGGCCTATAACCTGATGAGTAGGTATAATATTTCAAAGAAAATAATCGCAAGACCGAGACGTGTACGTTTAGCTTGACAAACGAAACAACCGAACGGAGAGACAAAAGACGGCTAGTCGCTTCCTTATACATATGCAAACCTAGAAAGGAAACATCCATTCCCCACTACAACCCGTCACAAGCGCCGCCACGAGTGGCTCCACATACAAACTAGATCCTTCGCGTATCCGTTACAATAAAATTCCTACCGGAATTTTAGCTTCGATGCATAGTGTTGTTCGTCTAACGTGAAAAAGAAAGTATATTCAACCTTTAGAAGAAGAATCAGCTTTTGTACACTTCTAACAGGTGACTAATCAAACAAATGGACGAATTGCTGAAATGATATATGGATACTGTTTCTCATCTCAGTCGGCGTTCTCGGTGATAATTCGATGTTTTGCTATTGTGCTATGGTGTACCGTGCACGGGTAGCGTCATCGGTATGGTGTTGGTACAGTGTCAACCGTTACGTGTAATTGTCTGAAGGTGGTGGCGTGGGAGTTCGACATTTTAACCGCTCGTATTCGTGAAAAGATACAAGTGTCCACGTGTGAAATACAGTCGACACTCAGGGGCGTGAGAATCATCAAAGTCGAGCTTATTCAAGAGATCTCTCTTTCGTGTCTTCTTTGGTAGGAATTTTATTGTAACATGTGTAATATTTTTAATTTCACGGTCACGATCTATTTATTTGTTTTTTCATTTTCGTGACCACGTCATTGATTACCAAAGAGAAAGGTGTCAAGCACGGTTTTTTTTCTTTTTTTTTTTTACACCGATTAAACGACTTTAACGAGGAATAAACGATGAAAACTGTGTGATTTTGTTGGACAACAGAAGGAGAGGAAATTACAATTTTTAGAAGCTAGTGCATTTGCTGAGAAATTAACGGTATCATTGAGGAATATCTGTGCTCTGTACTCTTTAGTGAAGTGTTTGACAGTATTTAATTAAATGCTTAACAATGAAAAATGCCTGGTGAGTTAAAAAATTTCAATATACAATACTTGCGTTAAAATGTGTAATCATTTGTTCTTGCAAAGTATAGTTTCGTGAATACTCGCTATTCGAGATAAAGAAATGAAAGAAGTATGTTTTTTTCTTTTTTATAATATTAATTAACAAAAATATTTATAAATGAAAGAGGTTTTTCATGCTTTTGATCTTGAAATTTTAATTTCTAAATTATGAAAGTGTTGCATTGTATGTACTAAAATGTCAGTACTGTATCAAAAACGTAGATGAATTGAAAGTAATGTTTCTTTAATTTAATTATTTCTATTTATTTATTTCCATTGATTAATTTTATTTTTATCCATTTGTATTCTTCTTTTTATTTTTTCTTAGGTATTTACGATTTTGTGAGCGTGTGCTTCATGGGTAGGTAAATGAATGTTTTTAGGTTAGGTTACCTATCATTAGTACTTAACCTCAAATATTATTAATTATTTTGCTTCTTTCTTGAAGCTAATACCGTTTTTTTTTTTTTTTTTTTTTTTATGGATACATGCATTTATAATAAATACATACAACCTTCACAATATTTAATTGTTTCTTTTTTTTCTATTTGTAATTCTGTGTCAGTAATTCTAAACAAAAACTAATTTTATATATATGTATTAATATTACCTATATATATGATAAATTTAGTCCAATTGTGATCAATTCATTGAACTATACAATGTGTTATGATTTATAAAAGTTCATTTATTATTTTTTATAAAAGGTTGTATTTTTTATTGTTATCGTTTGAAATTATGTAGAATAGAATATTATCTAGGTTATTAAAAGTTACAGTAATACATTTAAAATGATTGGAATTAATAATCAAAACAGATTATTAATTTTCAGTAATATTAAATTTTATTTGGATATTTTATAGGTTATTATAATATTATATAAGTTTCTGTAAAGTGAAAAAATGAGTTGTGAACTTTATTCTATTCTGAAAAGCGAAAATTAGTGATCTTATGATGACTTTTTACCTTAAGCTTTTCTATATTCTAAAGTAACAGTATAAAATTCTTCAGCTTGTGCTTTTTGTATTATATTTATTTTCATATTATACATTATAAATTTTACAAAACATTTTAAAAAAGGATTTATTTTTAATATAATATAGATCAGCTTCTAATTTTTGAAATGTAACTATACTGTTTTTAAATAATAAGGAGAAAGAAATAAAACGAAAGAGGCTATACAAGTAAATTTTAAATTAGTAGAAGTTGTAAGATTTGAGAGGATTTATGAAATCAGAATTACTAATAGTAATTCTTTAGGTAAACTAATTTTTAATTATTACACTTTATACTCACTTTATTCTTCCAACGTATTATATGTATTCTGTATTATAACTTATCATATTATTTTTTTTTTAATAATTTGTTACAATATGTGAACTGATGGGCTAATAAAACTTTTTTCAATGAAGGATAATAATATCTTCAGTCATGTGACTATAACTTATTAAAAAATTTTACAGTGAAAAAATATTATTGTATATGTTATTTTGTATATGTATTTATAAAATATATTTAATATTAACCCTTTGCAGTGTAATAAATTTCTCAATTTATACCCTTTGTCTCACAGAGGTGATCTTAGAACACAAAAGGTTGTCTTCAACTATGAACCAAATTTTTATTATTCTCTAATTAATACATAATCTGTTTGTAGTTAATATATAATTGCAGTGAAAATAATTTAAGATGATGCAGAATTTGCAGTTATTTATTGTTGATGCAAATTATTATTAAAATTAGTTTCTTGGTTCTATTAATTCTTAATCGAAAATTTTTATTGACATGTTCAAATAAACTATATAGCGTAGTAAATGAACTATTTTATTTCTATGTTAATTCTAGTTCTGTTAATTCTGGTTACTATTAGTTCTTATTATATTTATATAATTCTATATTATTTAATAATTAATAGCATTTGAATGTTGTGACTTATTTGATATCTCATCGTTTAAATATTTATAACATACTAAGCATTATTGAATTCATTTATTGATTAACATGTTACTAATTTAATAATTATACTGATTGTATTGATTTTAATTTAAAGAGTTTTTGCAGAGAACAAGAAAGTTTTTAAATAAATAATATGTAAATAATATGAAGAAAATTTTTATTGAAATTTTTGACATTAATATTAAGCAATTATTTAAAATTTTTGTATAAAATTATAATTGAGATGATGCTGTATCTAATATAATAGTTAGGATTATTTTAAATAGGATTATTTTCCAATATATTCATTTCATTATATATATTATTGCATTGCTATAGTTAAATTATAATATTTAATTTAGTTAAAAAAAGTATATGTGTTATGAATAATTACCTAATCCATGTAATTTTTTATTTGTTTTAATCTAGGGATATAAATTCTTTTTAATATATATTGTTATTGTTATTGTTATTTTAAAAATATGAATATAAAAATGGTGTTATATATTGTTATATTTTTTGAGTTATATATTGTTATATACTGTTATATTTTTATGAGTTTTTATAATATTTATTGACGCAGTAGTTACATACAATCAATTATATATGTATAATTTTACTATCATATTATAATTATCAGAAGGGCAAAATACATATGTTGCATATATAAAATATATTTTGTATTATTATATTGAAATAATTTTTATTTTTTGAGTTTTTATTATATTTTAATTAAGATACTATATTAATGAATAATTTATTTACTGCATACATAAAGGAAAGATTCTTTAAAAGAATATATAAATTAAAAATATATTTACGAATTATATCTTTTATTATTTCATACTATGAAACAATATTAAATGAGTGCTTAGTATTTTCAAATTACATTTTAAGTTAACATTGTAGCATATGTAACTATTAATTTATTATTAATGATATGTACTCATTCATATAAAGTTACTTTATATAACATTGAATAATATATAATTTGCAAATAATATAATAATTATATTAATGAAATGAAAATACATTGGAAAATAATATTTATATTTTAAAAAAGTAGTAAATATGACCGCTTAACTTTAATGCATGCCATGTAATGAATATTTTAAATTATATTAGAAAACTTTTATATTGCATATTCTTTCTATTTTATATTTCAAAATTGAAAGCTAACAAATGAAGAATTATGAATGTAGTTACATATGCATATTATGTGTATTAACTCTTGGACAATTTTACTTTGTCAAACATTTCAAAATATTAGTTAATTTGTAACTAGTAGTAATTTAAGTAGCATTTTTGTCAATTAAAAATTAAATATCATTGAGAATTTGAACTATTTAATTGGAAATATGTTATGAAATATATGTGTACAAAAGTATAAAACAAATATGTATTTTACAAGATGTAGAAATTTTATAATAATTATTTATCATTTATATGTAAAAATAAAAGCCTTCATAACTGTTATGAGTTAATAATGATCCAATATCTGATATTGTGATTAAACTTGAATTTTCTATAATATTATAATTAAGATATTGTATAATTAAAACTTTATACAATATCTTTCAATAAAAGTTCAGATAATAATTTAAGTAATGTATATTTAAACTGAATTTTTATGAAAAACATGTTTTAACATTTACACCTATTACAATTAGTATTAAAATAGTATTAATAATTATAAACAGACGAATAATTGTTTGTGGTTTCATTTTTGCTAAAAATATATTATTATGTTTTATCTTGTGTTTTTTTTATAAATGTAATAAAATAAAAATAATAAAATAAATATATGTGTTATAATTGAAGTAAAATAAGATATGTTTATTAAAAAAAAATTTTTTTAATCTTTTCATAATTAAATGACAAGATTTTTATTTCACTCTTTTACATTATAAATTACATACTTTTAAATATATATCTATATTTTATAATAAAAACATGCAAAATATAAAAATATTTTATAATAAATTCTGCAAAAAAATTTAAAAGGTTGCTACTTAAAATCGTAATGCAAGCATATGATTTAATATTATTTTAAATATTTTTATAGTTATTATTATATTTCCTTTTCATAAGTAGTAAATATTAATTAGTAATAATTAAAAAATTTTATATAGAATGTTAAATATATTAAATATTAATATCATATCGAGATTAATGTGATTTTTAAAAATTTATATACTTTATCTCTGAATATTATATTAATAAGATTATACGAAGTATTTAACTATATAAAAATGCTCCATTTGAAAATATAATTTAAAGGAGTAACTTGAGTTTTAAGTTACATATACAAAGAAAATAAAAAAATAATTCTTGTTTGTCTAATATATTTTACTAAAATAAAATTATTAATATTTTTTAACTAAATAATGTCATGAGATATAATTAGAATGTATACATGTATTCTGTTACAAAATATTTTATGTAGTGTTTTGACAAAAATATTGGAAATTTTTGAATATGAATATTAACATTTACATTCAAAGAATTTGTTATAATTTGTTGTTATAATAAAAAGTAATGAATGAGTGATAAATATAATATATGTATGTATGTATGTATTGAGTTCCAAGATATATTATATAAGATATATAATCTTAGAAAATTGTAAAAAATTTAAAATAATGAAAATTGCTATTCTGTTTTGTATTTCTTAATATTAGATTTGATTTTATATTGGAATTTATAATTGGAATTTGTAAATTTTAGTAAAATGTAAAATAGGAGAAGAATTTTGTTTTTATTTTCTAAGTTTTCTCAGAACACATTAGTAGAATATACTTTATAACTAACATATTATTATTCTTTATTGTGTCAAAAAAAATTTATTTCTTCTGTTTTATTATTTATTTATTGTATTTATTTGTTTTTTTAATTATTTTTATTTTTCCATATTTTTGTGATTAATTTTTATATATTTTTCTTTAAATTAACTTCGGAAGCTATTTAAATCATAGATGATATGTTTGATATTAGCATCTAAGTGCTTGTTTAAGTTTGAATAGAGATTTAAACTTAAGTTTTAAACTTTGATTTTAAAGTAATTCAGTATAAGTAAATAATTTTTTTTTACTTTTTGTTAGTGTTTTCTCGTTACTAAGTATAAGTGTTAGATTTGTTAAATTAATAATAATAAGTATTAATTTAAAATTAATGCTTGTGCCTTAATAAATGTTGCCTATAATGTACGTATCTCAATATATTGCTTTAATTTAAGTGCAGTTTCTTTACTCGAAAAAAATGATAATAATGTTGATATAACACTTTTTTGTTTATTATGTAAACTTAACTTAATTATGTTAACTTAAAATATCAATTTATTATCATTTGTATTTTAATAATTATGTAATAATAATTTAATTATCACTTGTATGTTGAGTCTAAAATATTCAGAGCTACCGGATTATATATTCTTAAATAAAAAACATTAGCACTTAAATTAAAAAAATTGTTAATGTTTTTTTGTATCCATCAATTTCCATAATGTTGTAACAATGATAAAATTGAGACATATCTGTATATGACATAATGAGATCCTAAAGTGATCATTGTCATTAATCGTTAAGTGATCATTGTGACATAAATTTTATCATTGGAACTATTTCGATTGTTTAACAATGTACTCACGCGATTTCATTTATTTTGTTTTTATTTATAATTTTTGTCACATCTGTAAACGTAAAATAATGCCGCAGAAAATACATCTACGACTGAGAACCATTGAGTTCGAATGGAATTAAAATTATTTAAAGTATTTTACTTTTCTTTTCGTTAAATAAATCTATATATAACACATCCTACGTGCGCGTATGCGGAAACGATGCGTCTAATAATAGGCGACACGTTTACCACCGACACTTATTGGGTAGCTTACTTACTTGCGATTTTGAAAGTAATGGGATTTATAATTAACATTATAAGATATATTTCATCTAGCGTTTGAAAAGAAAGTTACAATCATCGATTTAAATTCCTTAAATTTTATTAAAAATTTATTTGTTATGATACGTTAATTAAAAATATTTGTAAGATGTATCAACAAATAAGAATACATTTTTAAAGGAAAATAATTATATTTTTTCTTTTAGTAATTTTAATGTGTGATCGTAATAAGCGTTGTCTCATAATGTATTGAAATGCATTAATGATCTTAACGTTTTTAAATTGTAATTTAAGATTAAAGATCACTCTTTAATCGTTAATTAGTAACTATATTTTAAATAACAAAAAGGGAGTAAAAGTGAGTTTTTTTAGTGATTTAAATATTCGATATTTGATATTTAATCTTATTCTTTAAAAAAATCAGCATTGTTGAAAAAATTACTGTACATACAGTATATCAATACTCTACAGATAATGTATATGACTTCTTGAAAATACGTCACTACTAATTCCGTGTCTGTTTGTAGGGGGTTAAAGTTGGATAAACATATAGCTTTAATAACAAGTTCTATTATAAGTACTATTATAAGTACGCTTTAGTCCCTAATCTAGCTTTCAAATGCTATGTATATCGTTTTAATTAAAAATCCTTGATACGATATTTCAAAATTATTTTACGTATGAAAATTTTTAGGAAACTAAATGATTTCATAAAATTATTATAAATTATAGTAACTTAATTTTTTCTTTTAAAAGTTAAATTCTTTAAAAATCTCTTGATCTTAAGACGAATTTAATTCTTAGTTTGCAAGAACTTATGATCCTTTTGACGAATAAGTTTCTAATTTAATGGTTTAATGGTTTGATTTCAGACATCAAGGATTATGGAAGTTAATGGTGAAATTGAATGAGAATTTGCAGTGCAAAAAGACAAGTGAACTGATAACGGTAGAGACGAAAGGGAGAATCTGAACGCATCGTTGCTAAAAATTGATAAAGTTAGTTAAAAGAACGGGGAGAAAAACTTAGAAACGGGAAAGATCGCACGAGAGGGAAGTATTGAAAAGCGAGTGCACACATTCGTGGATTGCGTAATAAAAAGGGAGAGAGAGAGAGTGAAAAAGAAAAAAGACTCAGTGTGTCTGTAAATAAGAGTTATTTTTCGTATGACGGAACAGAAGCTACATCCACGTCGAAACGAGGGGAAACGAGTGAGAAGATGTTTAGAAGTCCTTGAACGAGAAAAGGTTCGGAGGACTTTCTCTCTCTCTCTCTCTCTCTCTCTCTCTTAGAAGGATACATGGAAAAGGTGATAAAACACTAGTGACAAAAGATAAGAAAGAGGTGAACGAAGAAGTAAGAGATAGAGTGTTACAATTATTATTATTGAGCCTTTTTTCTATAGCCTTCATTCAAAATCGATCGTGTTTCTTCCACTTCCAGAAGAATATTATTCACGGAGAGTGACTAGTTTAGATTTAAAAAGACTGAAAAAATTTTCACAGAACGCGAGAGAGAGAGAGAGAGAGAGAGAGAGAGAGAGAGAGAGAGAGAGAGAGAGAAAGAGTGCGCGTATAAACGGAAGTAATATAAGGAAAAAAAAGAGAAAAAGGGGGGAGGAAGAAGAAAGAAAAAGAAAAAAAAAATTGACGAAAGAAGCTGAAAAAGCGAGGGTGTAGTGATTGAGAGAAGAAAAGAAAAAGAAAGAGACCGTGAAAAAGAACACCTGGAAAAGAAGGGCTGAAGAGAAAGAAAGAAGAGAAAAAGAGAAGTGTGTGGTGAAGAAGGGAAAGAGGAAAAGAGTGCGCGTTCTGAAGCGGGTATTGAGAGGGCTGGCGTGCCCCATGTTGTGAGCGTCTGAAGACTGCCGGGGGCAGAAGTGAAAGGGAGGGAGGGAAGGGTAAGGGTGCCGCTGGTATGGAGTATGGAAGCGGCGGGGGCGGAGGCGGTGGGGGCCGTGGGGGTGTCCAACCACCCTCCGCAGGTGCGAGGGGTATGGCGGGAACAGACACTACTGATGCTGCATGGCACAAACACGAACAAATGATCCTTATGGAATCCAGACATAAGCAACAATGTAAGTAAAATACACTAAAATTATGCCTTTTCTCTTCTGCTTTTTCATCTTTCAGGTCTATGAATCTTCCCCAGAAATATTAATTTAATAGATATCGATTCATTTAAATTTAGTTCGGATAAAATTTTTACAATAGTTTGTAATAGTTTTAACAGAAACAACTAATTACAATAGTATTAAACAAAATTTTTACAGTAGTTTGTAATAGTTTTAACAGAAACAACGATACTTCGTTTCGAATAACTTCTTAATAAGTATTACTAATTAATTTTTTACTAAACCTACTATTACTAATAGATCTTATTACTAATTAATCTTTTCTTTTTTAAAAATATCATATTTATATATGATTATTGGACGTATTGGACAATAAATATGATAGCTTACATATCGATGAAAACATAAAAAATTGATATTTTATAATTATGTCAAATATTTAGTAAAAGTCTAAAGTTTAAAGTTAAAAAAGAATTAGAAAAACGTGAGAAATGTAAAATTTATTACACTTTAAAATAATAATAAAAACATAAAAAATTACAATTTTGTTAGGAATTTTAATCCATGATTTAAATTTCTAAACAACTTGCATTTCTAGGTATTTTTTCCTGTTTAAATTCTACTTAGCACAAAATACATTGTAGTTATTATAATTCTAATGTCATTTTGATGTTAGCATATGCAGGGAATATGCGTGTTTTTCTTAACATCTGAAGTAATACTTTTGGAGTACATACTTTTACAATTTTTTTTACATTTGAAATAATTTTTAATCTGTGAGAAATATCTATATCATTATATGTCATTATATAACGTTTTGATTATTTTTAGAAAATTCGGATCGGTCATTCAGTTAGTTTATTCAATTCGTAATAGAAGCTGTGCTTATATATTGATAGAAAAGCAAAGTAAAATCTTTTATTTTATTGTAATAATTATCATTAATATGTTTTTTATTCTAAAAAGTTTTAAAAAACCATAAAAGATACAAATTTTTATTTTATTGTGTTCATGCCTTGTTGTATTGTGTTTATCAAAAGATTCGTGGTAATTACTACTAGTACTTTTTTTTGATAATAAAAGTGCAAAGATAGCATTTATTACATATAAAATGAGACTTCTAGTTGACAATATATTATCGTAAAAAAATTATAAATTAAAAAATACAGATCTTCAGTGATTAAGAGTTTGCTAATGTATGTCTGTGGAACTATTACTTTCTTTCGATTCAGTAATCAAATTGAGAAGTTTTTATACAAGTTGTTTTGATGAAATAATTAATATTATATTTAATATGAAATCTATATTTGATTATACAATATTTTAACAATTTATGGAATTTATAAAATTTTTTCCGATAGTGAACGTTATTTTATATTAATATAAATCAAAGCCTTTGTAAAATCTTAGTTAACAAATTATTTTGATTACGCATAAAAGTGAATTAATGTTTTTTCACAACAGTTTGATAAGATTGATTAATTAATTTTAATTTTAAAACTTCTTCAAGTATTGGAAATATATTTATGTATCTTGTTTAAAATATGATGCGTTTGATTAATTATATCAACTTAATGCTTAGATAAAAATATACTTTAGATGAATAAATTGAAATTTTTCTGAGATAAAGTATTAACAGAAAATGAAGTTTGTTTTACTGGAAAATTTTTTCTGTTCACTGACAATATTTATTTAATTATATGAAACGTCTTATAATTAGGACGAAATAGTTTTAAAGTAAAATTGTTTAATTCTTTAGATATTAAATACTTTAAATATGCATTATACGTAAACGATGTTTAATTTGCAAGAATTATTATTACAAGCATAGTATTTTGTACATTGTACAAAATACCCATTAAATTCTATATGTACAACGTATTCTTATTTCTGCAAAACGATGTATATTCTTTGAGTGAAAAAAAGAGAAAAATGTCAATAGAAACATAGGCTCAAAAATACTTTGTTAAAATATTATAATAAAAGTACTTAACTTAACAGCGGATTGATTTTTGTTCAATAAAATGAATAAAAACAGATTAATGATATTTATCTAATCTCGTTATACAAACTGTGTTTTAAAGAAATCGTTTTAGATAGATATATAATATAATGTCGTTCGTATTGACATCAATAATGATTAGTAAGTTGTACGATTTCGTATCAACATGTCGCGAGTATCTTCGAATCGAGACTATGCTGACATGCATTTCATTTACGGTTTCACTAACAGAAGTCTAGTTGCTGCAAAGGAACATCGACGAAGATTCCCTCAAGAAAAGTATCGAATCGTTGAATGTTTTAGAAGAATTCATGATCTGATGAATTATACTGCAATTATACTGTAGTTCATGGTATAAGATAACAGCAATAAAACGAGCACGTGTGCAATGAAAATCACATTCGAAAGATTTTAAAGATTTTTGATAATAATTTTAGAGAAAATATTCACCGAATTTTATATTAATTAATAACATTTAGATCTACCATTAACGAATGTTATTATATAATCATTATTATAGCAATACGTAAACTTTTCCCAAGTGATTATTAAAATTTACATAAATTTGTATAATTTAAAAAATCATAAATTTATAATTTTATAAATGGTACGTGTGTGCACTCTTTAGATCGATTTCTAATTATAGACTTCATGAAATCAAAAGAGTGTATAAAGAATGTGTAACATAGATTTTACATTTTACTAGAGATAAATTGGAATCACAACTATTCTACGACAAAATGATTGGACATACTTGGATTTTTCGTGTTTCTCAAAATTTGTGATACGTACGAAGATTTTGTACATAATTATTTACTGTGTATTATGTTGAAAATTGATTAGCAGTCGCATTGCTATTATAGATGTTATAAAGCAATGGGTTAAATCAGGTACAATAGTAATATCAGATTGCTGGAGAGCATATAACTCTAGAAAATAAAGATTATCAGTATGCTGTTAACCATAAATACAATTTTGTAAATCCCAACTGAGGTGCTCACATGCAATGTATTGAACGTACTTGGAGTTATATGAACATTAGCTAAATTTTTGTTTAAATGCAAATATTCGTTTCCTAAACGTATTGATGCATTTTTTAAAATTATGCCTGAACCGTATTCATTAATATTAACTGTAATGAAAATGTAATGTACAAAAAAAAAAAACATAATATATAAAATTTATGTGAAATAAACTTAGTCCAAACATGAACGTCGTCGAGTTTTTTTCACAAATATCTCAAAAAATATATAACTATTGATTCAGTTATTAGGAAGTTATTCAGAATCATGTCCTTAACAATATGTGTAAATCTCAAGGTCATTGGCGTGATGTCACTATAAATAATATAATTAATTACTATTTTGTATGTAGATCTATGTAGTGTTAGTACGTTCTGTTTCAAGAATTATGTCTGTTTATGTGGAAAATGGATGTGACGAAAAGATGGACAATACTTGAGTTAAGAATAACAACGACAATAACAAATTTAAGCCATTTGATAGAGAAACGTTTATATGGGCGTCTCATGTAACTACCGTCACGATTTTTCAGGCATTTTTGGTAATTTAACAAAAAATTGTTTCGAATAAAAGATGCAATATAAAAGATTTCCAAAAAATTTTTTTTCGATAAAAATTACGGTCACTTTAGTTTTTTTTAAATTGCTCTATTATATTTTGGAGTTCATAGTCTTGCAGTTGATATCAAGATAAGCTCAACAACCTACTATTTCATGACGTTCTTTCATGACCTGACTTTGAAATTACAACTTAATCAAAGGAAGTGCTATCGTGGTACATTATTTGATTAGAATCAATTTTTTGGAAATATTTTGCATTAGTTGGGTCAAATTTAATATTATATCATTTTTATAATTCAAATTTCTTTTTTTTAAATAAGGATAAAATGATAACTTTAATAATATAGCTGCTTGTATTTTTCCATTCATATCAAATTTGATCATGTTATGATTCGTTATAATAAAAATATCTAGAATACTCTGTTGTAATTTCATAAAACAATATCCATTTCTCTGGAAAAATGAACTTAAAAAGTTTTAAATCATAATGGGCAGAAATTAGTTACCATACTGATATACGATTCATTGATAAAAAAAAAAATGTTGAATAGAAATTGTAAGTGAAGGAATTACAAAATATGTAATTTGTATTGCTAATGTTAACAGGATAACGTAACTTTCCATATCGAAAGCAGTACAAACATTTTTCCTGCAAAGAATATAAATGTTTTATCATGGCCGGCGAGATTTTCCCATCTAAATAGAATGTTTGGGGAGGATTATCAAGAAAAATATATAGCAATAGAAGGCTCAATGTTTGAAATAGAAACAAGGATGAAATTCAGTAACAGGAATATTTATAAAAGTTTCTTATATAATTTTATATAAACCGTTACTTAAACGTATTGTAGAAGTCGTCGAAAAAAAGGGAAAACGAACTCATTAATTACAGGATATGTAAGTGCTATATCTTCAATCTTTATAATTTTAACATAAGTTACTTTACTTGTCGCACTCATTTTTCACATAAATAGATATGATTCTTGAAACACAGCATAAACAATTGCTGTTTTTATACACGTTACTGAGGAAGGGATGTTCTATGTAGATCTAAACACAAAATATTTGTACATATCACAGATTTTGAGAAGCATGAAAAATCCAGGAATCCCCTATCATTTCGCGAAATGTATACCATTGTTCATTTGAGAAAATTTATAGATATAATAGATACAATTAACAATTTGATTGTCCAAAACATCGTGCAATACAAGTGCCGCTTCTAAAATTATTGGATAACTTTTTATATATATCAAGAAATAGAACTAACATAGGTAACTATTGCTAACTTTATACAAGTGTACAAAAATCGATCTGTCGTTATTATTTTATATTTTCGTTATAATTTTTTTTAGTAAAGCATTTTTAAGCATATGTTTATATGACATTTTCCTCTCATTTTTACGCGTAGAATATACT